GCCAGCGCCGCACTGTGGTTGTTGTTGCCGCTGCTGCTAATCCTGGAGGGGCGGGGGGTGGTGGGTAGGGGTTGCGGGCGGCGAGAAGAATCTACTCGCGACGTGAAAGGAGACCCACTCACCCGCCCCGCCCCGACCCGCCAGCGCGCACGACCCGCGGGGAATTTCATTACAGGTCGACCTCCTCATCCTCCTCGTCCTGCGCCTGCCTACTCCTGTTCCCACTCCTCCTCCTGCACCTCCACCTCAACCACCTCCTGCTCCCCGTCCTCCGCCTGCACCTACCCTGATCCAGCAGGTCCTGATCCCACTCCTTCTGCACACAGTCCTCCTGAACCTGCCCCTCCTGCTACTGACCCTCCTGTACCAGCCCCTCCTGCACCAGCCTCTCTTGCACCTGCCCCTCCTGCTACTGACCCTCCTGCACCAGCCTCTCTTGCACCTGCCCCTCCTGCTACTGACCCTCCTGCTACTGACCCTCCTGCACCACCCCCTCCTGCACATGCTCGTGCTGCTCCCGATCCTGCACCTCTCTTGCTCCTCGCATGAACGCTCACCGCCGTGTGCCCTCCTAGCGGTGGCAGGTGGACCTTCGGACCAGGCGCTCGCAACCAAACGCCATGCGGTGTGCTCTGGACAGATAGGCAGATAGGCAGACAGAGGCAGACAGACAGGCGGACGGACATGGGGTTGGGATTACAAGCGACACAGTGGCGCTGGACCAGCACGCCGGCCATAAGGCAGCCGGAGGGGAGGGGGGGAAGCCAAGGGTCAGCAAATGATGTGGAAGGTAGTGGAGGGGGAGCGGGCTTAGCAGCCGAGCCCCTAAATGGACGGCGGCGAGACGGGGTGGGCGAGGGGTAGTGCGACATAGCGCCGAGAGAGAGAGAGAGAGAGAGAGAGAGAGAGAGTTCGTAAATGTGCGGTCCACCGGGCATGATGGCCCCGGATTGGCCCCTGATGGGATTCGAACCCCGGGTCCCCGCCCCGGCTCGCCCCCGAGGAGGTCGGGGCGGCTGATTGAACATCATATTGGAGTGCCACTTCCGGCCGGGTTCAAAGGTAGCATCTTTCTCTGCCGGGCGGCTTGGGGAAGGTTACGTCCACAGGGTCGGGCGGGGCAAGGCGGGGAAGGGGGGTATGGCGAGGCAGGACGGGGCAGGGCGAGGCAGGGCGAGGCAGGGCGAGGCAGGGCGAGGCAGGGCGAGGCAGGGCGAGGCATGGCGAGGCAGGGTGAAGTGAGGCAGGGTGAAGTAAGGCAGGGTGAGGCTCTAAGCACAATATTTTTTACCTCATCTCCTCGGGGTGTTTCCGGACGAGGGGGAAGGAGGGGGGGTCAGGGTGACCCTCCGTCTCCTCCCTCCGCGCGCACGTCCGGCGGAATGTTGCAGTTATGAACTTGGCAGGGGGAGCGGGTATACGGTCGGGCAGAGGGTGAGGAGGGTGAAGAGGAGGGAGGACGTCTCAATCCTCTCTCGCCCTGCTGGTGTCCTCGCCGTCCTCCTCCGTCTCCCCGCTGTGTGAGCCGCTCCGTGTTCGGGGGGCGCAATGTGGCGTGGGGCGTCACGTGGCCACACTTGGAACTACAATGTCAGGGAAGTGCCTCATTGTGCGACCCAGCCGGGCCCGCCACCCACCCCGCCCCGCCACGCCCCGCTGGCGCCACATGC